CCGCCATTTCTCCGCCAATATTTAGCCTTTTTCAAAAATTTTTTTCAGAAATTCAAGATCAATCTTCGATCACTACTTTGACCCAAAAAGCCAAATTTGAAGAAAATTGCCGACCCGAAGGTATACTGTAACCTTAATAGTGCCGTATTGCGGTAACAAGATGCCTGCTTTGAGCGAAAATCAAGGTTCAAGCTCCCATGGCGTTGTTTAAACGGTTTTTAACTATCAACGGCCTACGCCTCATTGACCCAAGACAATAGTTTTCCGGTCAGATGGGGGACGAATAATCCCCCAATGGTGCTTTTACGATGAGAAAGTGCTTTGCAGCCGTTTGGACCGATAACATAATAATTATTAGCAGAATGGTATCATATATCTTTTATGTCGCAAACGTGCGACCTCAGTAACCCTTTGGGGTTAAATGTCCCGGCAAACTTGTGTGACAATTTATGACGTCGACGCGACAAAGCAAACAAAAAGTCCACAGTGCGGCCCATGCCTTATTCCCCATATCGCCATGCACACCTCACGGGACCGGAAGTTGCGTCGTTTTTCAAGTCGCGTTTGTAATCTTTGTGCTCGCAAGATTCGACATCTTGAATCATTGTATTCATTCGTCCAGGAATCGATACAAGGTAAAATTAGTACGTCAACTCCTATAAAGTCAACTCCAGTAAAGAAGCGTTTGCTGGAAACGCCAGATGCGCAAATCGGTTCGAGTGTTATCGCCTGTGACAAAAACAAACAACGGAAAGTCTTCTCGGAAAACTTTGGAATTTGGTCAAGAGAGCCCTCAAACGTCTGAGAAGTAAAATGACGATAATCTTGACCACTATTCGAATATAGATAATCTTCCCTTAGGCGGCCTTGTTTATAAAACCAACTCTGGAAATGTCCTCGTAAGAATTCCCCGCGGCGAGAAGACTAAATGTTTGCATTGGTAAGGCAAATACGTGACAATAACTGGCATGCCGCAGCTAACACTATATATAACAAATCATTCATTATTGTACCCAGAGGCTCTAAATGCTGTCAGCAAAAATGCTTCTAATGAAATGTCAGAGTACCTACGAAAAGATGTTACTATGTAACAACCTAGACGAAATCACTGGGTTTTCCCACACAGTAGTGCGAATTTTCTGTCCCCGGCCCTTGTGAGAAAACTTTAAGAATTCTTAGGAATTCCTAGGAATTTCCTAAGAATTCCTAGGAAAAAATTCCTAGGAATTCCTAGGAATCTAAGGTG